CCGATTAGTGGGTGCGATTGGGCTCTGTAGTCGAGTGTCCAGGCCGATTGGTGGCGGTCTTCGCTGGCCCGATCGCAGTCGCGCAATTCAAGGTCTGCATCGTCATTCCGGGCGGCCCCGAGGCCGCCGCAGCCTTCCGTCTGCCATCCGACTGGCCACTCTCCTAGAACAGGCCGGGATCAAGGACGATGATATCCTGATCGACGATCGCGACCATCGGATTGGTTGGAACTCGCGGACGCCGAACTGGTCGGTTATCCGCTCCTTATCATCCTCGGCAGCCGCTGGCAAACCCTTCATACCGTCGAGATCCGTAACCTCCTTGCCGCCTCTACCCAAGAAATCCCTCTCTCTCCCAGTCCCCCGACTTCCACTCAAGATGAGAAAAATGATGTAATGCTTCTTGATCTTGATCCTATCGTTTCTCATACCCTCGCCGAAATCAATAAGCTCACCCCCTCAGTCTCTTAACTCCTTCTCTTCATCTTTTATCTTACCCATCTCCCCTGATCACTTTCTCATCCTCACCGTAAAAAACAAAAATTGAGTATCCGTCTTCAAGACCTATCATATAACTCAACAAAAAAAGCTGGCCAAGAATAGGGAGAAGTCAGAGAAGAAAGTAATCTTCTCACAGGGTGTCTCACAGATGTGTTCCAACTAGTAATCACCGCCAGCGCAGGGGCTGAAGTGTTTGCAGGCTTCAAGGAGACCTGCGCAAGGGCATACAAGAATCAGGTGGAACAAGAAGGTAAATGTCTTGGCATGTCATACATCAGCTCACACACAGATTGGACAAGGAGAGAACAATGTGCTGATTCAAGAGTGAGATCAGAACGAAGTGGGGAACAACCAAGGAAGAAGTTGGGAAGGATGTTAAAGCTTAGATGTCTATGAGCATGCATTCATAGGATTATAACTAGATACAAGTCAACAAGATCATTAAGGCTTGTTTGTGAGCAATCATTGGCAGATGCAGATGTTGAGGGTTTCTGGTCAAGAACTCACGACTCAGCTCTGGAGAATGATTGAGATTTGTTTGTTTTTTTACGCGTCTCTCTTCTGTATGTTTGGATTGCTTTTGAGAGACTTGGTCAAGTCAGCCCGCAAGATTAACAAGTGACTAGTGTTTTTTCCTGGTGTTATTGAATCCACTGAAAACTTCAACTGTTTACCAATCCTTTGGGTTCCCCATGCTTGACCTCTTTTGTATGTATCCACTTTGGGGAAGTATTCTGACAACTTGTAGGGATGATTCCTTGTTCAGTTGCTTTGTGATCAGTGCTGCATGTCTCTCTTCACCTTTGTCAAAGTTGTGATTCGGTCTCAGGCACTTGGAGGTGGATCAGTACATAGTACTTCTTCAGCTTGGGGTTGGGTGACTGCCAGTGATGTGTTTGTTTGGATCAGAGCATTCAGCACTGCCTGCACCGATCCGGAACGGGGAAGAATCTCTTGCTCAGTAAACCTTAAAGCTCATCCTAAGACTGGTGTGTATGCACGCCCCTTACGTAATCAGTTATCTCTCTTATATGTCAGACCCTGTTGACCCACCCCACAGCCTCCCTCCACCCCAATCGACTCATAAAAACGGTCAACAGGCAGAGCAAGCAACAACCCAGACTCAGCACACCACTCGGTTCTCTCAAACAGACAGACAACATAAACCATTCAAAGCAGAAACAGTTCTCACTCGATTAGCAACTGCTTCTGGATTTAGAAATCACACCCAGTACTCTCAGTCTAGTATTTCAAGATGCTCAAGGCCGTCAAACGAACCCCACATGTGATCACCACCAGGGTCGGCATGGCCAAGACTTCCTCAGACCCAGAGGTAGACGAACTCAAGCGGCAGTTTGTGACAGTCGAAGAGGAGTCTGCCAAGTTACAGAAGGATGCCAAAGCCTATCGAGAGGCAGTACTAAGTGAGTGATTGAATCGAAAGATCAATCAAGACTGGAAATTGAAGAAGCTTTGGTTTTTCTCATACTAATCATCCCTCAATTCTTTGGTTTGCCCCAGAAATGCTCACCTCGTCCCACAACTTTGGTCAGGCATACGTCACCCTGTTATCCCCCATGAGCAATGAGGCAGACCTTCCCGAAAGGTATCCGAACGCAGCCCAGACGATCGAGCAGATGGCGGCCTATCAAGAACTGGTCACCGATCTCAGGGACACCGTTCAACCTGAACTGGATCTCATCGATACTAGGATCATCGCTCCCATCAGGGAGTTCAACGAGGTCATCAAACATGCCAAGAAAGCTATCACAAAACGCGACCATAAAGTCAGTCTCCATAGATCAAAAAAACCCCACCTGACTTCTTTTACGGATTTACTTATCGGTGTGTTTTCCCCGCAAATAGTTGATCGATTTCGATCGTCACAATAACTCCTTCACCAAATTACGTGACAAAAAAGAGAAGTCGTTGAGTAAGCTTGCTGAATTTACATTAAAATGCAGATTGTTACGATCACTTCTGACCAGACTGTTATTGGTTTTTTTTATTGCCCAAAGAGGACGAACAGAACATTTTCAAGGCTGAACAGGAGTACGAAGCCGCCCTGCAAGACTATGAACACTACAACAACCTCCTCAAGACCGAAATACCTCGCTTTCTGCAACTCACTACGTCCTTCATCTCGCCACTATTCCACTCGTTTTTCTACATGCAGTATGTCACTATCTCCCACACGCCATTTCATATTGCAAAAATGGTAATCGACGGAGAAGCAGTAGCTAACTTTCCCGCAACTGTTACATGTGTCCAATAGACTCAACATTCTCTACACGACTTATGGAAAACTTCAGCAATTCTCAGAGGGTCGTTTCGATCTCAACCAGACGGACATTGAAAGCATTTATCTCGAACGATTGGGCGACACACATTCGCGGATAGAGGAGCTCACGATCACCAAACGGCCTGCATCGACGGGTAAGGACTTAAGCCCACCTTTCCTACAAGAGATGTCATAACAGCTGATGAGAACGCTTGATTTGCGCAGCGAAAATCATCGCCGAACGTCGTGCAGCAAATCCGCCACCGCCACGGCCGGTCTCGAGCAGTTTGCACTCGCCGCGACCCCCGGCTTCGCTATCCACCCGAACGTCGACTAGCAGCTTCTCGGGCAAGCCGCCAGGCTTGGGCCTACCACCGAAACCTCACAGCTTTGCGACCGCCAGCAACCCCGCGAAGCCGGTGCTGGCGCCGAAGCCGAGTCTGGCGCCGAAGCCGTCCTTCTCTAGCAAGCCAGCTCCCGTTGACCCGCCCGTGGCCGCCGCGGCCCCACCGCCCTACAGCCCCTCGAGCGCCTCTCAGGCGTCTGGGATCGGCTCAGTCGCGGCGGCTGCGGCGGCCATTCAGGCACGAAAAACATCCTCAGACACTGTCAACCCTCCCCCTCTCAAACCGAAACTCAAACCTCCTCCGCCCCCTACTTCTCAATCTACCACATATGTCACCGCGCTCTATGACTTCGTCGCACAGACTGAGGGCGACCTTAGCTTCAATGCCGGCGACCGTATCTTGCTCGTCAAACGCTCCGATAGCGAACAGGATTGGTGGACTGGAAAGTTGAATGGCGTCGAAGGTATCTTTCCTGGTCAGTCTTCTCCTTTCCTTCTCTCCTGTAATCTTAACAAAACTTTTCTCATAAGGAAACTTCTTGCTCACTCAAATTGATCACACCATTTTTCTCCCTTCCTTTGTTCATGTACTACTTTATACTTATCCTTCAATTCTGTTTTGTCCTCCTTTCCTTTTTTTTTGTCTCCATTAGGTAATTATGTCCAACTATGATCAATTAGCACCCACCAGAACACACAACCTTGCATATTACGTCCTTGTTTCTTTGCTTCCTTCCTTTCTTTCTTTTTGCTTCTCATTATTAACAAAAAATGAATCAATCAATAAATAAATAAAAAGCAGTCTTCTTGTGTCGAGTTGTCTCATGTCCATCTGCACTATTCAAATGTGTTGTAGTTTGCCTCATATACATATATCTGCAACATAGATCATAAAAAACAGATATTGCTTATTGTTTACATGTTTTGGTTGACACACCTTTTGTAAGAAAGTGGGACTGTGGGAGTGTTGCCAAACAAGATGAAGAGCTGACTGGCTTTTTGGGAGCTGAACATACATAGTCTGGCTCAGCTGATCAACAGTTCTGAAAATCTCTTACTATGCATGATCCTTTCCCTCATTGAGTCTTGTTCACTTCTAATGCAACTTGCAAATCTCTGGGTCTTGGGTACTGATTTTTTTTTTTTTTTTTTGAAGAAGAAGAAGAAGAAAAAAAGCAAGATTGATGATGGAGAACATGTTGGGTGATCCAAGTTGAAAAGTTTCAGAATTTCATTGACACTGACTCAGAGGTTTTTGCCAATACATAAATTAATGCTTTAAAACTGCAACCAAAAAATTGCTGGAATGTATTATAAAAGAAAAAAATGTAATCAATAGTCTCTGGTATGTTGGACCATGTGTGTGAGCAACATGTGAAAAGAGCCCCCTCCCACCCCCACTAGCATCACAAGTGCATTGGCTTGGTGGAGGGGTTGATACCCAAGTACAGCCGGGTCTGCACATTACTGGAGAAATGGCTTGTCAGGGGGGAAGGGAAAAAGCCCACCAATGCAAGTAACAAAGTTTGGGGGTGTTCTGTGGGGAGCAGGAGAGGATCTTCAGGGTTCTGGTTCTTGATCATATGTCTTTGCCACCAGCTCCCAGCCCACATGATTCAGAATCATATTAAACTGTCACAGCCGCTAATGGTAGTAAGCACATAGTTTTTTTTTGTTTCACTTCCCTCCTGTGGCCCACCTTCCAAAATTCAAGCCTCTCAGACTCAATCCAGTCCTGTGTTGAAAGAAATTAGAGGATCTCTGATGGAGCTGCGATTGGGAAACTGGGGGAAACACTTGGCAGCCTGTGTCAATTCTTTGCAATCCAACAGTCCTGGGGGGAAACAACCCTGGAAACATTGCTGGGGGAAGTCCAACCCATCATGATCACCTGCCAACTTCTGTGGCTTGCCTCCCAGCCACACTCCCCAGTACTGACCACATTTCACTCAGCTTTCCTGCCTCTTTGGATTACAGCACCTGCTTTTTCTACTCTTCCAATCAACTTCCTCCAACACCAATGGAAACCCAACTCAACTTTCTCAAAGGAAGCAAAAATGAAAAAACCAGTCCAAAAAAAACTAGACAGTTGCCACACCAAAACCAACAGAAACATCAACCACCATCATTAAGACATCCCGTCTTGTTAACTTCACAGGTTGTCTCAGATTGTTTGTTTATTTGTCTCCAATTGCCTCCTCACTTCTTTTTTTTTTAAAAAAAAGTGAATTTCATTTCTTTCATTAATCTTGCTAATAAATTCATTTTTTTTGATTTACCAATTACATAACCAAAAAAAAGTGAAGTGAAGTGAATAAAAGTGAGAGAACAAAAGACAAGGAGGACAAGGAGGAAAAAAAAAGTGTGAGGAAAAAAAAACAAGCAAGCAAGAGACAAGAGGAGCAAGCACGAGAAACAAGAAAAAATCAATGAGATCAATTTGAGTGTGGTATAGAGGATAGATTGGAAGCCACTCAAAGCTCCAGTACACCATTGGAGCTGACTCCCAATCCCTATGAAATGTGGTTGAAGCAACGGTGGGCCAGTTACACTAACTGTAGTGTTAGTGTAGCCTAGTGTAACGTAATTGTGCGCAACTTTAGTGTAGCGTAGTGGGATTCCCCCACATCTTGCACTAACACTACCCGCATAGGCCCCAAAAAAGGGCCCGCTATGCTACGCTCACACGCTGGTTAGTGGTTTTTTGGCCCTTTAGCACAGCTCAGCATAGAAAAAATCCGCTAAAAAACACTAACACTACATATTTTTGGCGCAAAAAAAGCGCCGCTACGCTATGTTTTATAGGCCAAAAGCATAGCTTAGCCCACCAATGGTTGACAGCTGGGGAACACAAGTAAACTGCCCCCAACTGTGAGAGATGCTCTTAGGAGTTAAGAGGGGAAAAATTGGCAAAGCCAATAGCAGAGAGAGTCTGACAATATATTGCTTAATTACATATGCAAGGGGGCTCAAGTGATCTCAAGATAAGACTGATTCCCGGCTAGAGTGGATGAATTCCTGTGGCGGTTTACAACCCTCCCAGAATTTGATTTACACACCCTAGATCTTAATTCTTGGTATCAAAAATATTTTTTCACAAGCCTTGTGAAGATAGCTCTCATGTGAGCAATGGTGCAACAGATATGAGACATGTATTCGTATTGGATCGAATTGTCTTCATTTTGAGCCTGATACCGGTATCAGTATCTTCTTGGTTGGTGAAAAAATTTATTGTCTCAGATTCGGATTTACAAATGAAAAAAATGTCTTTTTTTTTCTTTTTTCTGCCAAATATCTTGTGTATCAAATATGGTATTGGTGGGATCAGTCATCTGAGACCATACAGAATACTTTTCTCACTCTTCAAAGAAGATACATGTGTATTGTCTCAGGAAAGTGAGACAACACAAATCCGGTATTTTTGGGTATTCAAATTCTGAGACAATACAAATAAACACCTGATACCGTCTCGTATTGTCTCTGTTGGACCGTTGATGTGAGCTGGTTGGAATTATGATTGAGGTGTTAATTTAGGACTGGAGAGGGATTAAAAAGTACTCTAAATGGCAATGGGAAGTCCTGCAGTGTCTGCTCAAAGGCAGGACTGGTGTTTTTTTATTCAATTTTATCTAGCTGATTTAAGTAGAAAAAATAAACCAATGTTCAAGATTTGGGAGCAGGTTTTGATCATAATGAATAGAAGAATAACCAGTAATTTTGGTTGAGAAACATTAATGGACATCTAACAGATGAGTGAAACAAAAAGGAAAGCAAGAGATTGACAAGTCAAATTCCAACACCCTGTACCCAAAAAGAATGTGTCCACATCTTGGGCTGTCAGGAAAGAGAAAAATCAATCTAAAGAAATGGCTGAGAATGGAACAGTTGTAACTGATGCACAGTCTGGCTGGAAGAATGAACAGAACCCATGTTCAGTCATAACAGGGAGGCTTACATAATGAGTAGTGATAATTGTTTTTCCTGGTGACAAGGAATCATATTCAAATGATGCAATATCAGGTACATATGAGTTACAAAACTGCCTTTGTCTACTTTGTAAAACTGAACAGTGTGTAATATAGAGATCGTTTGTTCGTACTCGGGTACCTGTTGGTACCTAGGTACCTGTTGAATTTTTTCAAAAAATAGGTACCAAGTACCGCACCAGGCACCTCCTGGCGGGTACTGGCGGTACTTTTGGCGGGTACCGCGGGTACCTCTCCTCTCTTTCTAACCTAGGTTCACTTTCAGATTACCAAGTCACTTTTTGATTATTATTTTTTTCATATTTATTGTAAAATATCAGTCCCAAGTCACTTTTTTTCCATTCTTTCATATTTATTGTGAAATGTTGACAACAAATTGGAAGAATCCTACTTTGCTATATATTTCATATTTATGAAAATATAATTTCCAAGTCACTGTTTTTCCTTTTGTCATATTTGTTGTAAGACATCTTAAACTAATTGGAAGACCCTTACTTCATTATTATTATTATTTTCATATTTATTGTAAAATATTACTCAAGTCACTTTTTTGGCATTTTTCTCATATTTGTTGTCAAGTATCTACATCTAATGGGAAGAATCTTGCCTTTTTTCACATTTATTGTAAAACATCAATCCCAAGTCAATTTTTTCATTTGTTCACATTTAATAATTTATTTTAAAGCTTAAACTGTCTACAAATTATATCTAATTATATTATTAGAAGAATCTCCATTTTTGTCCAAAACTATCACCTTCCTTTTTGATTTTTGGTTAGACTTCTTGTTATCCTTGATTCCCTGTTTCCATGTAGCCAAGGTACCTTCTTGGAGTTCTTGGAGTAGAAGGCCACCGTCATTTTGGTAGGGAAGTGAGGGGGTACCTGTAGCGGTACCTAGGTACCTGTTCAATTTTTCACAAAAATAGGTACCAAGTACCGCACCTGGCACCTCCCAACGGGTGCGGGGCGGGTGTGAAGGGTACCCCCCAAGCGGTACTAGGTACCTAGCAAAGGGTACCGCGGAACGATCTCTAGTGTAATAAATAAGCACTGCCTTTTTTCCCCACTTTGATTAGCATGATGTCACCTGTCCTCTAGTGGTCATTGTTTTTTATTTTTCAAAGTACATGTTTCGAAAAGTGCAGTATGAAGTAGATACAACACTGTTTTGTGGCTTATGCTAAGGTATCACAGTATGCAGTAGATTTAGCACTGCCATTTGACCCCACTGTTACTACAAAAACTACAAACAGAGCTTGAATATAAATCATGGTGTTTTTTTTCAATGGCAGGGGATTTTTATGACACCCTAGGGGGTATCAAATATAACCAAATCCACCCTTTTTTAATTGACTGGTTTTGAAAAAACCACTGTTTTTTAAACATGTTAGTTCTTCATCCTACCCCTTTGTGGACCCATTGGTGGAAAAAAATATTTTTGGATAATTGACTGGTTTCTAATGGTGGATTTCTTATATTTGATACCCCCTCCTGTAATGCTATACATACCATTTCCAAGTATACATACATTGCAAATCTTTGCAGTCCTAACCTGATAGCTCTACCTTTGAATACTACCATGAAAAGGTTTTTGAAGTTTCTAATATTAATTGAGTTTTTCCAAGCTCTGCCAAAATTTGGCATGTCTCAACCAATAGTTCAGGAATCCATTGCTCAAAAGTTTCAATACTAATCTGAAAACAAACAAGCATTGAGGATCATGGGGATGCCCAATGAAATCAAAGGCAGTGTATCATCCACTGCAGTGAAATCACAATATGATTCAAGTATGTCTGTCTTGATTAAAATCTTTATCCCAATCCAAGCAAAAACTTGAATTTGATTGGAAATCCCTTATCTGATCCAAAATCAAATTGGTACTTGAATCAATTTCTTGAACTCATGTGATTCAGAAAAAAATGGAATCTCAATCACGCAAAAAGAACAATCAAAATGTAAGCTTTACAAAAGGATATAAGCAGGTGTTTTTCCAAAAAAAAATTGTTTTGGTGGTTCACTGATCATGAAATACTGCTTTATTCAAGTAGCTACAGAGCCAAGGATGGTAGGTAGTGGGTCTAATTGTGGCCAATACAATGGGAATGGTCCTCAAATTGATCACCAGTACCTGAATGACTTTAAACCATTGAAAGGGACTAAGACTTTGTGAGTAAAGAAAGAAGATGGTATAACATATTCTCTTGTATCTGATTGAATGTTTTTTGTGTACTCTAATACTTACAGAAAACAAAAAAGGTCTGAAATCAAACTAGTAAAGGGATTGAAGAAATCTGTAAAATGGGTGAAAGAGCTCCCCAATAAGATGAAAAGTAGACTAGGCAAAAAACCCAATGTTTCCTCAGAAGCAAAGAAAGGAAAGTATAATCATGAAGATGAATTTGATGATTATTATTAGAGAATTATTGCATAAGGGGTTCAAAGTGCAAGTACATACTTTTGAGATATTAAGTCATGTTCATATTTTTATCTAGTTGCATTTATGTTACAGTAAATTTTATCACTTGGAATAACATCTTCAGAACATGTTCCCATTTAGTGTACCTGAGAGTCAAAAGGATATAAAAAATTGTTCGTGACCCAATTTTATCCCTCTTTAAGTTGGAATAGGATTGTGGAAAAAAAGACTTTCCTCATCCTCCAATTGATCAGTAACTCCTGAGATTTTCATAGATGCCTCCAACAGGTATTTGAAGAGTTCTCTGTCTACCCAAACATGGGATTTCCCATACTAAAACAAGATGATTAAAGTGACTGCACTCAAAACTGTTTACACTGGTGCATGTGTGCTGAGTAATGTCTCTTACTTTTTCATAACTATACTCCCAAAAAATTCTAGCAAAAATCAAGACTTAAGCTAATTCATCATTAATTATAAAATCCTTTATTCTTGAAATTTTAACCATTTCATGTTCAGCATTTCAACCAAACCTGTCAGTGATCTCCAAGTTACTTAAATCATCTCCTTTTTTTCCCCAATTTATTTACTCAATTATGTCACTATCTTGATAACATAATTAAAAACAAAATTACCTATTTTCACTGCTAAAAACCCCAAATTTATTTGTAATTATCCCCAGAAATTCAACATATTTTATCTTAGTTTTGAATCATGTGCAGTGAGAATGGCCACTCCTTGTAATAATCTAGGCTGACTAGGGCTCCAACCCAGTGGCTTTGAGCCATATTTCACTCATCCTTCACCCTGAATCTACAGGCTTTGGCAATAATACACTGAGAGAAGGGGGCCAATCAAAAAGATTCACAGTGAACACCTGAACAAGGGTATTCCCCATAAAAATACCTAGGATTTGGGGGATTTGGCATCAGGTTTAGCAGGTTACACTGTATTTTCAGGGCCTGGAATTGAAATCTAAGGCTTACAAAGTGTCAAAACCTCAGACACTAGCCCAGTTGTCTGTAAGAGAATGTAACCCAGAGGGGTTAAAAAATAATAAATATTATTCTAGTTATTCTTTAAATTGATAAAGTTTTGCCTCTCTAATTTTTACCTCTCTCATGAAAATAATAATCAAGTTAAAAGGGATAATTATCTCTTGTGTTTATTTATCCAAGAGATTATTATCCTCTGTGTCTCTCTTGTGTATCCTCTGAAATAAGAGAGATATTTTACATATGTACATGTATCGTCTGAAATAATATAGATGTTCAACACATTTAAATTTACCAGTTTTTGAATATCCTGACACTTTTCCCCAAAGAAATAGTGTAACAATATGGGGACTGCACCCATCCCAATAGCAGTTTGATCACTGATCTGAAATATTTAAGGGGATGAATCTTCCTGAGAGATTCATCCTCCAGATAATATTAAATAACCTTAATTATAATATCATTGGCTGAGTGGGGTTTTTTAGTAGTCTATTGTTCAATTACTAGTGTTACATTTTTACTGTCATCATCACTAGTCTGTAAACTAAACATTCAACTTCATAGATTAGTAAAGTCTTTTTCTTTACATTCTCAAAGCTCAGCACAGCAAAGCTAATTCCACTTTTGTCTCTTACAACCATAAGGAGAAAACCCCTCCACTTCTAAGTGTTGAGGAGATGTTCACTTCCATTAACCACCTCTGTGGTTATAACATAGTGAGCCACAAAACCCATCAGCAACAAGTCACATAAGAGACTGGCAGTGAAACAAAGGCACACATTTGTTAGTC